AAATATTGTCAATTTTATTATCATAATTCAGATGATTTGTTATCATTTTATAAATCAGTACTAATATTTATTTTTGAATTACTACAAATAGTATTCAATTATTGTTTTGATTATTTGCTGTATTATACAGTATTTATGATATATATTTTACTTTTTAAATGAACCATTTAGTGCAGTATTACAAGTACTGTATAAATTATGTTATAAACATGTGCTCAAACATAATTAATGATATTTCCAGAAAACCATTAAATTAAATACCATTACATATTTAAATTTATAAATATATTAAACATCATTTATTTTTTTAATACAAAAACAATTAACTTATCACAATATTCCTAGACTTTAACGAAACATTAAAAACAAAAGTGAATTAGTTTTACTTTAATTGCCCTTTTATCCACTTCTAACTTATGAACAAATCATTGAAATGAATGATTAAAATAAATTAAATTTCGATTAGTTTTTTCCACAATCTATTTGTAATTCATTTCAATGTTATAATTTGTAAGTAACTTATTTGTAATAATGATTGAATGAAAGGTGAAGACCTAATGTGAACGGAAAGTGAAGTATTACTCGTATACGATATTCTGTGCATTACTATAGCATTGCTTTGCATAACATTCACAGAATCTGTGCTCAAACTTAGCGCTCAATTCAGTGCAATGTTTGTGAAATAAACTCGTGTTTTGAAAGTGATTTACATTTGATTTGATCCACAATTTGCTGATTATATGTGAGATATATTTTATTCACCAATTTATATGTCAATTAAATATTGATTTTAAATAAATAATAAATTTATTTTAATCGCGTTTACATGTAATATTAGTTTTTGAAATAGCTATCAAACAATTGCTAATCAATTGAAACATTGATTTGATTGCCACTCATATAGCGACCCATTAAGTGATGTCTTCGTCAGCGACTGTGGCCACAGAGGAGCCGAAGACAAAGCCGTGTTGTAAGTCAATGGCCCACAAGAAGCTCATCAAATGCAGTGAAGTATTGACTCAAGTATTTGATGTCATTATTTGACACTAAAAGACATGTGAATGTCATAACAGTTACCACTTTATGGCAATCCTTACCCGCCGTGCGATCACGTGATAACTGAAGAGTTGGGTTACATTGAGAGTGGCGTCAGAGCCGTGCGACAAGAGATGAGTCCATACGTGGATGCGGTCGTCAATGGCAGTCAAAGAGTGGGACAGATATTGAACACATCGTATGAACACTCAAAATGTATGAAACAATTGTCTCATTTGTGTCCACACGAGTGGTCTAATGACATGATTGTCTCATTTGATTGATAGCCACCTATGAGTACATAAGCTCTGAGGGAAACACTGTCGCCAAAGCGGCGTTCATTACCGGCGGAGGACTTCTCGGACTTCTGATATCCGCCCGGAAAGGCTTCTTCAGGAAACTGTTTTACACGAGCGCTGGTCTGACCGCCGCGTCGGCCGCTTGTTATCCACTGGAGGCCAAAGAGTTGTCACAAATTGGCTTTTTTATCGTCAAAACTAAAGGTCCAGAGATGATCAAAGAATACACGGGTATATGAGTTGAACTCTTTTATAAGCAAATGAATACAATATTTGGTGTCTTTTGTGTTGCGATAACAGGCGTAGACCTGACCCGCAGGAAGGGCTCTAAGGAGAGCGCACCTCAAACTGAGTCCAAAAGCATCGACACTATTGGACAGGAAGTGAGTGACGTTCAGAGTTTGGGATTTAGATTATCAGAATCTTCGGCGAGATTTTGATCAGATAAACCGAACCATATATTCGCAGACATTATCTCATTATTTGTTGTGTATTTCAGTCCAATAAGACCACAAGTGATGTGTCAAACAAGAAGTCCGAAGTGAAGGGAGACTTCGGAATGGGTCGCAAAGAAGACCAAGACTTGTATGCAAACAGGAGTTCAAAATGAAAGCATTTATTTTGAGCTTATATTTAATTAGTTAACAAATAATAGTTTCTACAATCTATACAATAGTTATGTTAATTGAATGACAAATAAATACAAATTAATTGATTTATGAGCAAAATCTAATAGTTGTAACAATTTAAAAATAGAGCAAACATTGGGCTTACAGTATATAAAAAAAATTGAAAGTAAATTAAAAAACATTTGTGACTTAGATAATATAGCAAATACTTTTGTTTGTATTATGAGCTAAAAACGTATTTCAATAGCCATAACCGGGCGGATAATAAACTGATGTTTGGGTCAGTCTTTCTCCCCTAACGCTAGGCCTCGAGAGCCTACTATTGAAACTTCGAGGCCTTAAGTTAACTCTTCTCTGACTGCCTTCGCTTCCGAACGAAGCGGTTCTCTTCTTGAGGTCTTCCTTATGCTTCTGGTCGTAGAAATTGATGGCACAGGCGATAGGAATCCATACGATAAGTGAAATCATAATAACGGCGCCAACGATATTGTCTTTCATGAAACGGACTACAAATGCCAAATAATTTAGCGGTAATTACATTAGAAATACTTGTAGTGTTTTACACGTCAAGACTTACAGAAGGTGTTGATATCAATCTCTTCGATCACATCCCAAAAGCGTTCGACGAAATCCTGAGTACTTTTCTCACACCTTTGGTTCTCACAGAAACCATATTTACAGGGCGTTCCGTTTGGCAGTAGATCTCGGGGCTGGACGGGACTGCAAGTGGAGTACGTGTTGTTGGATCGACAGCATCGGACGCATGCATTCCCTGCGTCTTCACAAAGACACGGCATCTGTCCGATGGCCGCACAATATGTGATGCATTTGCCGGCTCTGCACTGACCCCTATCCAGACAAGGTGTATCATCGGCCAGGAATGTAGGTTCCGGACATTTGCTGCAATGAATCAAATATACAATATTATAGTCTGTAATGAAAATATAGCGATAATGTGTTGACTCACTCGGAATCGCCGTCACAATTGGATTCCTCTTTGCAATTGAGTTCATCCTTATGTTTGCAGATGACTCCGGCCGGTCTTATCTTACAAGACGCACAACAGTCCGAATTCTTGTCACTGCAGTCGGCGCCGGATATTAGTTTACATTTGCTGTCACAACAGAGACCAAGTTTATAGTCATCTCCCTTAACCAGTAAGCCTTCATCACATTCCTCGTCCGCTTCCACTTTACTGTTACCACAATAAGATCTGTCGGGTTCTGGAGGTCATAAACTCAATGATTATTCGTTGAATATAGTAGTAATTAAGTATAGACTCACTGGAGAAGCATCGATGAGATTTAGTCATCAAAACGGCACGAATTGATCGCTTACTGCACGGCGAGAAGAACTGGAATCGTATGAAACATACAATTAATTCAACGTTTAAATAATGCTTTAACTATAGAAATACCCGATTATTCTCTTCATATCCACTGACAGAATAAGTATACATAACATAAGAGCCGCCATTCTGTGCATCGGGTGAACACTCATCGGTGTGCGGGTCGTGCTCTGAGCCCCAGTTGTGACCGAACTCATGGGCCGTCACTAATACTGCTTCTCTAGTGATAATTCTTTGGCCAAAAGTGTTTCTGGTAGTCGTTAGACCAGTGTTGAGGTAGAGGTTTCTGCCGGTCGGGTGAAGGGCTGTCGACCCGTAATACCCGGGACTACAAATGCCACCGACAGAGCTGAGGCGAGGGGAGGCCACGTATGCCAACCCCAGCACTGAACCATCGAAGGATCGGTGGGTGAAGAGGTGCGCCAAACAGAACTGACTGTTCTCTCTGTTCAGTGAAAAGGCTTCGAGAACTTCCCGTACGGAACGTCGGGTGGCTTTCGAGTTGTAGTGATCCCACTCAGCAGTGGGTTCCGTATGGATTTGAATCTCTTTGATGAAGAATCCCATTCCCTTAAACCCTGACCCGGGCTTCTTCTCGTCATCCGTCCACTCAGTGTTGTTGAAGATATTGTTCACTCTATCGATAATATGAATCAAATAATTAATTGTCGTCTTTTGGTTCGAGTCGCCCATCTTTTCGTAGAAGTAGTGATCGGCCACTAAGACGATCGCGCAATGGGTTTGAGTCGGTTTGAAGTTCTGTGCGTTTATTTCAGAGGAAACGGCCATCTCTTCGAAAAATGAATCTCTTTTTCTTCGAATCCGTTCTTCAGATTCCATGTATTCGTTGGTAATATTATCACCAAATTTGATGAAATCACAGAATGGTTTCGACTCTTCAGCCGTCGAAGTGGAGGAATGTTTTACGTCTGATTTCTTGTATACAATCATAGAGTCCTTATTGTGATGGCTATCCAAATGTCTCCAAATGGGTTCCACTTCATAGGTCTCGTCCCCCGTCTGTATTGAGGCCGTCATCACACCATTGGGTGCGATGTGTGCCCTCACATCCGAGCCCTCAATCCCATCAACTCTTCCCGAATAGAATTCATGGAAATCAACAAAAATGGGTTCTTTGCGACCCTTCGAGTCCACGGAAAAGGCATTCAATTCATTAGCACTTAATATATCCTTATTATGCGATAATAATAAACTAAAGTCTCTATTAATGGCACGAAATATCACCAAACGATCGACTAATTTATCTTTGAATTCTGCACTTCTTTTTGCTATTTTATGGTGTTTTATATCATTTGTTTCAATGATTTCATAGTATTTTAATTGATGAATACTTTGGGTTTGATCTGAAAATTTGAATATTAAATTAAATTCTATAGCACTAATAAAGTTGTTGACATCACTTCAGTATTTTCAAAACAATTCAAACAAATTGATAATTTGATGATTAATTCAATATATTTTTCGCAATAAATTCTTTCGTCAGAATAATTATTGATAAAGTTATTAGTCATAGCAAGATTAAATTTATAACTTATCTAGGTCATTATAATCTTAATTTATTTTTGTAGTTCTTGATGTGTAGTTAATTATTGATCTAAACTAGCATAAATTAGTCAAAATGTATTTATTATAAGTTATAAATGGTAATACTTATTTTCCCAATTACACCCCTGAACTCTACATGCCTTATATGCCTTTCCAATACCCTTTACTTAGACTTTGACTTATATAAGAAATAGTTTTAATTTAATTTTTATTACAAATTTAAGAACATGTCTTAAACTAATACAAAGTATCATATTATAAGAAATAATTGTGAAATATTGTAATTGCAGCACATTATCAAGCATTGCATAATACGCTATATAAACGTTTAATTAATTTATTTTTATTACAATTAATGATTCAAATAAGACTTACGAGAGATCGAAGTGAATCCCAATATAACTGTCAATAACAGGTTTAATAAATGCTTACAAATCATGATTGCATTCATTGTATACAACAAATTGTTTTTGCTTATTTTTTGAATAAAATGTTTGTTTCACAAAAATTATTTATATTATTATTATAACATAATTATATAACGATATATAGCAAAATTGACACTTTATGTGGTTAATGCATTTACAGTACCTACTTTAATAATAGACAACATTTCCACAATAAAAAGTATTAAAAATTCATATTAATGATGCCTTATTTGAGTTACAATATTGAGAAAAATATTATATATATAAATAAATAAATAACAGAAAATAAAACATTAATTAATATATAATACTTGTCATACTTGTATACTTGTCATATAATATTCAGTTCATAAAACATACACAACTTGTGGTGGAATGTGATTCATGTGATTCTTGCGATACTGTTATTATAACCTCTGCTTTCAATTACAAAAGCGATTTTAAGCAAACTATTGTCAATTTTATTATCATAATTCAGATGATTTGTTATCATTTTATAAATCAGTACTAATATTTATTTTTGAATTACTACAAATAGTATTCAATTATTGTTTTGATTATTTGCTGTATTATACAGTATTTATGATATATATTTTACTTTTTAAATGAANATCTGATCCACACATAGAGTCCCATATTCTTCGGCAAAGCCATGGATGTCCTCAAAGAAGACAAACTGAAGGAAACGCTCGACTTATTCGACTCAATGGCAGCCAAAGAGCGGTTCCTCTGCGGCGACGACCTGTCTTTGGCCGACATCTCGATCATCGCCGGTCTGTCACTACTGGAGGCCACGGACTACCCGTTGAGCCGTTGGAGGAATGCTTGCAAATGGATGGACGGAGTGAAGGATCGGCTCAAAGACTTCTACGAAGAGATGAACGCAAAGGCCATCGAAAACACGCGACAATACGTGGAGTTCTTGAGAGACAAACGAGACATCAAAACAGACATCAAAACCGATAAATAAAACAAAAGTCTTCAATACTGACCACAAGTCTTGAGGACTTCCAGCAAACAAACAAAACAACCGACGATTCAAACCACTCGTCACTCAATACAACGCGTCCTGTGGGAAAGTCGTGCGATCGTCACATACCTGGTCAACCGGTACCGACCCTCACATGCCTTATACCCGTCGGACCCCCGGACCAGAGCCACGATCGACAGACTTCTTCAGTTTGATTTGGGATCTCTTTACCGAAGTATTTCTGATTATGTGGTGAGTTATCACTCATTCAGACATCCATTTCCCTACCAATTCCTCGCATTTACACACATCTGATCCACAACTAGAGTCCTAAATTCTTCGGCAAAGCCATGGATGGCCTCAAAGAACAGAAACTGAAGGAAACGCTCGACTTATTCGACTCAATGGTAGCCAAAGAGCGGTTCCTCTGCGGCGACGACCTGTCTTTGGCGGACATCTCGATCATCGCCGGTCTGTCACTTCTGGAGGCCACGGACTACCCGTTGAGCCGTTGGAGGAATGCTTGCAAATGGATGGACGGAGTGAAGGATCGGCTCAAAGACTTCTACGAAGAGATGAACGCAAAGGCCATCGAAAACACGCGACAATACGTGGAGTTCTTGAGAGACAAACGAGACATCAAAACAGACATCAAAACCGATAAATAAAACAAAAGTCTTCAATACTGACCACAAGTCTTGAGGACTTCCAGCAAACAAACAAAACAACCGACGATTCAAACCACTCGTCACTCAATACAACGCGTCCTGTGGGAAAGTCGTGCGATCGTCACATACCTGGTCAACCGGTACCGACCCTCACATGCCTTATACCCGTCGGACCCCCGGACCAGAGCCACGATCGACAGACTTCTTCAGTTTGATTTGGGATCTCTTTACCGAAGTATTTCTGATTATGTGGTGAGTTATCACTCATTCAGACATCCATTTCCCTACCAATTCCTCGCATTTACACACATCTGATCCACAACTAGAGTCCTAAATTCTTCGGCAAAGCCATGGATGGCCTCAAAGAACAGAAACTGAAGGAAACGCTCGACTTATTCGACTCAATGGTAGCCAAAGAGCGGTTCCTCTGCGGCGACGACCTGTCTTTGGCGGACATCTCGATCATCGCCGGTCTGTCACTTCTGGAGGCCACGGACTACCCGTTGAGCCGTTGGAGGAATGCTTGCAAATGGATGGACGGAGTGAAGGATCGGCTCAAAGACTTCTACGAAGAGATGAACGCAAAGGCCATCGAAAACACGCGACAATACGTGGAGTTCTTGAGAGACAAACGAGACATCAAAACAGACATCAAAACCGATAAATAAAACAAAAGTCTTCAATACTGACCACAAGTCTTGAGGACTTCCAGCAAACAAACAAAACAACCGACGATTCAAACCACTCGTCACTCAATACAACGCGTCCTGTGGGAAAGTCGTGCGATCGTCACATACCTGGTCAACCGGTACCGACCCTCACATGCCTTATACCCGTCGGACCCCCGGACCAGAGCCACGATCGACAGACTTCTTCAGTTTGATTTGGGATCTCTTTACCGAAGTATTTCTGATTATGTGGTGAGTTATCACTCATTCAGACATCCATTTCCCTACCAATTCCTCGCATTTACACACATCTGATCCACAACTAGAGTCCTAAATTCTTCGGCAAAGCCATGGATGGCCTCAAAGAACAGAAACTGAAGGAAACGCTCGACTTATTCGACTCAATGGTAGCCAAAGAGCGGTTCCTCTGCGGCGACGACCTGTCTTTGGCGGACATCTCGATCATCGCCGGTCTGTCACTTCTGGAGGCCACGGACTACCCGTTGAGCCGTTGGAGGAATGCTTGCAAATGGATGGACGGAGTGAAGGATCGGCTCAAAGACTTCTACGAAGAGATGAACGCAAAGGCCATCGAAAACNCATTTGCTCCGATTTGGACACATCTATGCTCTTGAGGTTGAGGTCGATGTCCAGCAGTCGGGCCACCATTAGGACTGTCCGACAGGGAGGGCTCTCAACCATGTAATACAAATCGATTGACATTTTTCACTGTTTTTTATTATTGAGATAATTAGACAGCAATTAAAAGTTATATTGAAATGTGTGCGAAACAAAAGTGTACCAGTGTAACTTGATGAAATAACAGATAAGACTTGAGATACAGGTGCCCGTATGTGATAGTCTTATAGCAAAAAACTATTCTACACTTTGTATGAATTTTTATACGGTATATGTTTTGAGACACACTTTGAATACTTGAAAGTTTCACTTTTTTATATTCCACTGGAAATATAGGTGCAAGGTTATTCAGGAATGACATATAAATTAATGTGCTTTTGATTAACTGCTTTTGAATTAGAGAAAACTATTTGAAAACTTGTTTTTCAAGTATTTTATAATTAATATTTTAATAGCTTTGTTGAATTTAAGGCAAAGAATTGAGTTTTTTGAGAAACATTTGAATACTAATATCACTTTATTTTAACACAAATTTAACTTTATATATCTCTTATTGAACTTTAATAAAATTTTAATGTTTTATTTACAAATAAATATATATCATTTTTAAAATGTTTTAAACATATTATTAATTACTTATATCGTAAACTCTATTATCAGAAAAGTATTGATTATATTTGTGTGAAAACCAAATGCTTATGACATGAATGGTGTCTATTAACCAAAGGGTAAAGTGTTTGCCATTTGTGCCAAACCATA